CCTGATGTGAGGACAAAATGTCTGTCTTTGGCGCCCCCCAGTGGAAGCATGAAAAAAACACAATGTTGCAGACAGCAGCGCACGCTGCACTAAAGTGCACGTTGTTGGATCAAATAAAATAATATCAATGTCATTTGCTCAGTTTTATATGATTTGACTTTACTTATGGCACATGTTCACATTTGGATTTAGTCTGTGCTAGCAACATATACACACACACAGAAATGAGTTTGTACATGCAGTGTCTTTCTCAAGGACACCATATTTACTACTGCAGTTCAAATGTGAACCCGAAACCCTGCTGCACCCACATTTTTATCATAACTCTGGTCTTACTCAGTGGGTCGACTTGGCACTGATCGTTCTTCTCTGATACATGAGTGTGAAAGTGCAGCTGCAGAGCAAGCATCCCACAGAGAAATGGGTTTTGGACAACTTTGCACTGTTAAAGTAGAGTTATGGAAGAGATGAGAATTTGGCACCAGAAAAAGCACATCGCTACATTTTTGTGAATTTTGTGTAGTGTCATGTGACCATCCAAGGTCAAGGGGGGGAAATGAAATGGAGAAAGAAGAAATTCTTTCAAAATAGCTACATAATAAAGATATAAATCACATAAACAGGATCCAAGCTGAGGAAAGCTTGATGATGCTTTTCTTGTATATGTTTCCTTAATGTTGGTGTTAAATAGATATAAGCAAACATATTCTCTGAATCTGAACAAGAAGTACGATCGGAATTCATCACACACAGTTTACGGAATTCATTCTCAATCTGCAGGATTTATATCCCTTGTTAAGTGCCAGGGAGGAGTGTCAGACCAAAGCTGGGCACAGACTGACCTTTAAATATTGTGTAATTTCTATCTCTAAAAATTGTAATATTTAGTGAAGCCCCACTGGCCAAGTTGGATACTGCACAAAAGGGAGTTTGACAAAACTTGAACCACCAGACAGATGAGGGCAGTGTGGCTTTGGCAATTTATGAATAGTTTAAAGTATTATTAGCTACTGATACACAGCGGACCAGACTCAAGTGCTGATTTTTTTTCTTCATTCAAATAACTATGACCAGGTTACTTCAGCACGTGACATGTTGTATTTTTCATGCAGTGTGAGAAGGGTGTGAGGGTAACATGCAGCTTTAATGTTTGGTTTATACTCAATACCACTCTGTTTTGATAGAGTGGATATTGGACTTACATTCTTCAGGTAGACAGAAAAACAACTCTAAATGAGTGCTAGTGCTCAGTGTCTGCTAGATGTTTAAATAGGCGACATTTGCTTGGATAAACAAATGGGGGATATTTGTTTTGGTTTATAGCTGGTTCCACTGCCCCCAAGTGGCAAAAACTAATAATGCTGCTCTTAATCTTTTTTTCTTTTGACAGAATTTGATGGCATTTTTTAATTCAAATTGCATAAGCTGCCTGAAGGCTTTAGGCTCATGAAGTTTGTCTCCTCAGAGTCTTACTATGGAGTCAGTCGCAGAGAGCTGCACTACCTACATACAAGCAACCACTTTTCACCATGATCAGTTTTATTCCAATGCTCATGTCATCAGGATAATTGAAAGTGATTTAATCCCATAAAAGAATCTTCACTTATTAACTTTTAATCTTGCAGTAGTGGCACAACTTAAGCTTTCATTTTATAAAAGCAACAAAGTCATGTAGACTCCTCAAGCAGGGTAGTCTCTCTGTACAACACATCTCTATTGTTTTCATCACCTTGATCTCTCTCTCTTCCATACCATTTTTCCACCAGACTTGACGGACGGCACTGCAAGTTTGAAGCAGATGGTTTTCGGGGTGGTGACGGCTGTTGACCTGCTTAACTTCGTCACAGTCCGGGAAAGGAGAGAGCGATCCATGTCAGAGTCCACCGACGAGCTGAACTAAAGCACACAGCACGCATACATTGCTTTACAGTGACATCAAACGCAATGACAGGTTTAGTAGAAGTGTCTCAAAGATAGAAAAAAAATATAAGTTTAGATTTGAGGGTAGCGCTTCCACTTAAAAAAACCCCAGCTTTTTTTAAACATTTGAACTTCATTGTAATAAGCTAAATATCTTTTTGCCGCTATGTCAAATTGTGATACGGTTATTATTTGAAGCACTTAATACTTATTGAATTTGATTATAGTGCTTTAAAACAAATCTTTTGTAAGTTTATAACTTGTAGAAAGCTTTTTGTTTTGAATTGGTCTTGAATAGAGGCCCCAGGCCTGTTTCACTATGGCCTGGTGCATCAAACATAAGAAAGAAGACTTAGCATTGCAAAGCCACATTCATCAATCATTTTTCAAGGTTAGACATGTAGAGAGTTGCTGTATATAAGCGTATTCTTTCCAGTGCTGCTTTTTCATTTGTGTACGCTTAAGAAATATATGTGGAGTTTAATCAGATTTCTTAAAACAATTGTGGTGTTCTTTCCCTCTCTTGTAACAAAGTGCTTGTGTTATCTGAAGTTGTCTTGACTATTTAATCTTAGCTGTGTCTGAGAGAATGTTTTTTTTTTATTGCATAGTTTTTCTTTAATTAACGTGGACGATGAAATAAAGTTTAAAAGAAGTCTGTGACTGTTTTAGTAGTCTCTTACCCTCAGCTCTGGAGAGCAAGAAGAAGCAGTGTTGGCTGTCCAAGAAGTTTACCTACAGCCAATTGGGTTTAGAAAGAAATTTAGTTTTTGTACATTTTTGCTGGAAAATTGTCCCATGTACTAGTATGTACAGGTGCTGGTCATAATTAGAATATCATCAAAAAGTTGATTTATTTCAGTAATTCCATTCAAAAAGTGAAACTTGGATATTATATTCATTCATTCCACACAGACAGATACATTTCAAATGTTTATTTAATTGTGATGATTAAAACTGACAACTAATGAAAATCCCAAATTCAGTACCCCCCGAAAATTAGAATATTACTTAAGACCAATACAAAAAAAAGGATTTTTAGAAATGGTGGCCAACTGAAAAGTATGAACATGAAAAGTATGAGCATGTACAGCACTCAATACTTAGTCGGGGCTCCTTTTGCCTGAATTACTGCAGCAATGCGGCGTGGCATGGAGTCGATCAGTCTGTGGCACTGCTCAGGTGTTATGAGAGCCCAGGTTGCTCTGATAGTGGCCTTCAGCTCTTCTGCATTGTTGGGTCTGGCGTATCACGCGTATAGACGGCTGCATTGACCTTGGACCTCATAAAACACAGTGGACCAACACCAACAGATGACATGGCACCCCAAACCATCACTGACTGTGGAAACTTTACACTGGACTTCAAGCAACGTGGATCTGATCCTCTCTTCCTCCAGACTCTGGGACCTTGATTTCCAAAGGAAATGCAAAATTTACTTTCATCAGAGAACATAACTTTGGACCACTCAGCAGCAGTCCAGTCCTTTTTGTCTTTAGCCCAGGCGAGACGCTTCTGACACTTGTTCAAGAGTGGATTGACACAAGGAATGCGACAGCTGAAACCCATGTCTTGCATACGTCTGTGTGTGGTGGTTCTTGAAGCACTGACTCCAGCTGCAGTCCACTCTTTGTGAATCTCCCCCACATTTTTGAATGGGTTTTGTTTCACAATCCTCTCCAGGGTGCAGTTATCCCTATTGCTTGTACACTTTTTTCTACCACATCTTTTCCTTCCCTTCGCCTCTATATTAATGTGCTTGGACACAGAGCTCTGTGAACAGCCAGCCTCTTTAGCAATGACCTTTTGTGTCTTGCCCTCCTTGTGCAAGGTGTCAAGGTGCAGGTGGTCGTCTTTTGGACAGCTGTCAAGTCAGCAGTCTTCCCCATGATTGTGTAGCCTACAGAACTAGACTGAGAGACCATTTAAAGGCCTTTGCAGGTGTTTTGAGTTAATTAGCTGATTAGAGCGTGGCACCAGCTGTCTTCAATATTGAACCTTTTCACAATATTCTAATTTTCTGAGATACTGATTTTGGGGTTTTCATTAGTTGTCAGTTATAATCATCAAAATTAAAAGGAATGAACACTTGAAATATATCAGTCTGTGTGGAATGAATGTGTACATTACACAAGTTTCACTTTTTGAATGGAATTACTGAAATAAATCAACTTTTTGATGATATTCTAATTAAATGACCAGCACATGTATGTTTTAAATATTAAATAGATATAAATATAGATAGATTGGTACTTCATTCATCCTCGAAGGGAAATTCCAGTGTTGCTGTTGCAGTGATTTACATAAATGTAAATAAAATTGACAGTTACACAACATACACAATAACACTATGAGGTAGGTTTAAAAATATAAATAAACAAAGGGACATGTTTAGGTTCAGATTTTTATGTTACAGTGACATTTCTAAACATAAAACTTATTTATTTTGAACCTTCCTTTGCTACCCCAAATTTATGGTATTTTAAACTTTTCTCTAATTTCCCCCCTTTCATCCTTTCTTTAGGCCTCTAATTATTCTTTAATTAAATAATCTGAGAAGTACTGTTTGGTTGAACTGCTCATAATTCATCCACATTTATGTGATCACAAGCAGACATTTTAAGGGGTCACTGTTCAAAAAAGTTTGGGAACCTCTGCCTTAATCCATTGAAGATGATTCAGGGTAAATCAGAGCAGTGTCCACATTTATATAGTGTACCTAAACCCAACCTGACAATTAATTTGATATTTTTTGGTAATATTTTATAGTTCTAATTAGAATGTGAGGAATGTATTGCAGCGTTTCTTAAAAGAAGAGTGTCTAACTGCTCCATCGGTCATTTTTCCAAGTGTTTACAATGTTACGTGAACGCAAATATTAACAGTCATTAACGCGCTGTGTTTGTGTCTGCCATGTGGGTTATGGCGCATGTAATGGTCTAGGCTTAATACCGTGTCGGCGGGGCTTCATTAGAGACGATCTCGTTTAATTACAGAGCTCAGACTCCGCCCTGAGCAGCTCCTCTCCGGTGCACTCTGGGTTAGAAAAGGAGCAAGACCCTTCACGTTGCCAGTATCCAATCAGCGCTGTCAATGCAAGTCGTTGACCGTGGCGATGTAGCTGCTGTGTGTGGTAGATGCTACGAGCAGGGCTAGACAGGCAGTATGGCGGAGGAGGGCAGTGTGTACGAGTTAGAGGGGCTTGAAAAACAACTACAGAGTTTGTTGTGTCGCTACTCAAGTGATGAATTGCGAGCCGATAGTAAACCGTTCTGCTCAGACTTTTGCAAGGTAAGGAGCCGTAGCTGAAGGTGGTGACAAGCTTGTTGTCGAAGATATGAGCGTATATTTTAGCCGACTCCCCTCCCCCAGAACTGGCCGTTACACTGCTAGCATTAGCAGTTAGGCTTGTTAGCATCTAACCAACGAGTCGTAGTTGCTTAAAAAGCAAATATATTACCGTAACGCTTTTCACGTGGTATATCTGATAACACGGGCTCAAATTCAGGAGACGCTATACAAGCGTCCGACTCAGTAAATCAGTCATTTTGACAACGATTGTTCACTGTTACAGCTAGCAAGCTAGCTCGGCTAATCGCTTCAACTAGCCGCACAGCTAGCCAAGATTTGTCTTCAAGTTAGCCTAGTTAGTACGTTAAAGGTGTACCAAACCGAGTGGACAACTTTTTTGCCCGTTTGCAACGCGGTTGGTAATCCTTTAACTTGTAAAGAACTTAGCTGACGTTAGCTAATCTCAAATGTAAGGTTGTCATGCCATTAGCATTTGCCATAAAATCCAACTTCAAATATGGCTTAATGACCTGTTTCACTCCCCAACAGCAACATGACATGTAGCTGTACTGTTGCAGTAACAAATAATATAATTTCTGGTATCAGAAGATGACCTTATACCCTTAAGATTTTATAATATTATAACTTAAGATGTATAAAGCCTGTCAGTACATCATCATTAAAAGGTGCATTTATGTCACTTGTTGAGGATTGTTCGTATCATCTGCGATGATAACAGAAGAGTCATAAACAAAGGTCTAGCCTAATAACGGTGGGGAAAAGTCTAGTCTACGGTTTCCTGTTGACAAATCCAAGAGATGAATTCTTATTTTGCTACTGTGCTAGAGGCCTGCCATTCAAAAATGGTTTGATTTTATATCAAATAAGCTGCCATAATAAAACTGTGATTGGAGAAAGGCTGGAAAAACATCATTGTTGACAGTTAACATTCACAAGATACCAGTGGTGCAAGAGAGTGATCCAGTCTTGTATCGCCACCATTAGAGGGCAATATAGGCAGGTTGTATTTTAGGGGTTTGACAGGTCAACTGTAAGCATTGTGTAAAGCAGCACTGCCACATTGTGGTTGCGGGCGGGTCCCTGACTTACATAGTTTATCAGTGTGCACTGCAGTAAAGGTGTGTCTACGGGTGAAGCTGCAGACACAACGTCGCAACACAAAATGTTTGCCACTGATTTAAACATGCTAAATGATATAATTTGCAGTTTTGTCTTTGACTCGTCTTTGTTTTGACTTTTCTCCGTGCAGCTTGTGGAGGAGCATGCCTCTCGCTGGCAGGTGCCGCTGCCTCAGCTCGGGATCCTTGAGACGGCTCTCTGCTACTTCGCCCGAGCCTCCACCTTCTTCACATCAAACTGTGATCATGTGCACCACACACTCAGTAGTCTGGCCTTGTAAGTACACATACGTCCCTAGAGAGGTTGCTTTCAGTCTTTTGCTGACTTAACTAATGCTTTAAAACAAACAGTAACGTACAAAATGAAAGCAGTGACACTTTGAACTGTTTCCAAAGAGGTTATATTTCTACTTGTGTTTGCCAAATAGTATTTTAAGTAGCACGGCAGCAGTGCTGTTGTAGTCATGTGGTTTTCAGTCACAGAAAGTATTGTCTTGCTGTGCCAGACATGATCGTGTAACTTGTACACACACCACTAAAGACAACTTGCTGAATCGTAGGGGATAGTTAACACCCTGGGCTTTCATATCTCAACTCCTCCTTCTACCTTCTCTGAATATCTTCACTTTTAATGTTCAGAGCGAAGCCGCTAACACCAAGTTATGGAGCAAAGTTGAGATTTGTGTTAAGGCAATATCATGTTTTGTGAACCACACGTAGTGTAGCAACTGTGAATGCTAGAGGCCACAAACAGCTGCCTCTTGCCCTTGGTTCATCTTCGTTCCAGTCTTGTGACATCTGTGAGAGCTTAAGTATAGTTAACTAACAGTTTTATATTATCATAGAAAACTGTAGTATGTTTTCTTACCTGTCTTACTCATCATTCTTGCTAGCTAAAGTTAGTTAAAGGTGGGCTAAGTGATTCTAATCCATTGTAGTCTTTTTGTCAAATTCAGTGAATATCTCCTCACGGTCCACTAGCTGTCTGTTCTGTGTGTGCACTGAAAATAAATCCGGTGTACACAGCCCTGGGTCTGTAAAAGGGAAACAAAGTGGCCCACATCCTGACACACAACACTATTTTAACCATTCCAGCCATGATTTGTGTGTCCGATAATGTTAAATAACTTGCCCACTGACATTCAGCTTACTTTCTGGTTCACCAAGACATGCTGATGTGGTGATGTTAGCTATAGTAGCAGGAGAGTTGTTAGTTTTGCTGCCTGGAACTGCTGTGCTGGCTCTGGGGCAGTCCCGTCCTCTCTGCATGTTAGCTTCACAGCTGTAGCGACAGTTAGTTAGTTACATGCCATTTGTCATGTTGTTGGATTTCGCCAGTATCGCTTACCAAGACGTCAGTGATAACAACAAGCTAGTTGGCCATTATTAAAATTTGTTGTTGAATTGGAATGCTTAAATTTAAGCACAATGAATGAATGTAGGGCTGGACAATAAAACAATAACAATATAAATTTTTTTCTATAACAAATGTTCAATAAATGTGTGATTTTATTCACTTGAATCATACTCAAATTAGGACTTTTATTAAGATGGTTATTTTGTTGAGGGGAAAAAGGACTGAAAAAGCTTTTACTTAATTTTACTTATTCTCTTGAAAAAAAATTTATAATTGTTTTGAATGTTCTACCTCAGATTTGTGAAGTGATCCACTGTTAGGCATGAAGTATTGACCATAAAGATGAATTTAAACCACAGTTAACCATCAGGTTTCTTCAAGTTTCCCTCAGTAGCAAAAATCAGCCTTTAAACTCAAAAGAAATAAAGGTTTGATGCTTATCGTGGTAATTATCGATATCGAAAGAGATGAAACTTTTTATTGTGGTAACATTTTTGGTATTATCGTCCAGCCCTAAATGAATGAAACCCTTTATTGCCCCTAAGAAAATTTACCTTCCACAATGTGCCGTTGAAAAGCACACACAAAACATCAGACATCACACACCCCAAGACACTGATAAGAAAAATCCCTTTATATCTTTTACAATTTGCTGGCCAGTTTCATTATACCCAAAAACAAGACTTTCAAATCAATTACATACAATGCGAATATTCACATATACAACAAATAAAACATTTGTTTTTATTAAGTAGTCTTATGTATTTGGGAAGTTGGTTACAGCTTTTATGGAAATGAAAGTTGGTTATGTTTCTTGGCTCACACAACTAAATTTGTGAACCAAAAAAAAAAAAACCCTGGCTTGCTGCCAGCTGGTGACCCTACTTCATCAGCCCCCGGGTTTCCCTTCAAAGCTATGAAGTAAGTTTGTAGATTTTAGAGCCTAACCTGTTTGCTTTTTGTTTCTGTCCTGTTTTTATGCTGTTTTGCTTCACCTTTTAATAGTTATCGCTAGTTGTTGTTTTTTATGCTGATCTTGTTATTGTCTCCTTGTGTTTGTCTTTTTTTTTTACCATGGAAAGTGCTTTTGAGTACCCTTTTTTATTTATTTATTTTTTTTAAAGCGCTATATATAAGAGAGAGAGAGAGAGAGA